GTACCAGGACACCCCCTTTGGAAACAGAAACCCCTTTGCTCTCCTGAACTGAGCTGAGACGTCCTGGGGTGAGTGTTACAGCCTTGCCCCTCCACCACGGCACAGGCTTGGCTGGGCCAGGGTGGGAATGCAGGGCCCTGAGGAGCAGGAGGGGTACAAAACCAGGGAAACAGAGATACCAATGTGGAGACCCGCGACAGGAGTGCCCTTGGCCCGGAGCTGGGCTGCAGATGGACACCCAAGGCTTGGCAGAAGGTCACGAGGAGCCTGCACCATTCTCCCAAGCAGAGCCCCCCTCCCTGTGGGAGTCCTTCAGGCCAAGGCACAGCCGTGCTGGCTCCCCAAAAGGGCTCAATTGTCCTGTGCTGTGGGACACGGGCAGCACCCACCCCCCAAATCCTCCTGCCTGCACCCAGCTGATGGGCAGCTGCTGGGACGGGCTGCCCCTCTGCAAGGGATACAGCTCAGAGATGCTGGCTGGAGAGACTGGGGAGCGTGGAAGGGAAACTCCTTCAGGCTGGAGAGGCTGAGGAGCGAGCAGCCTCAGCCAAGCCCGAGGCTCAGGTGTCAGAACAGGGCAGTCTGGGCAGCAGCAAGGTGGAACAGAGCCTCTCCTTTCGGGGGGCTGGGGGATGAAGGACGCTGGCAGAGCCCCACCAGCATCGAGCAGAAGGCACAGGAGGATGAAGGGTACGTGGAGGAGCCTCAGGACCAGGCCCTGCCCCCTCCAGTTCAGCGCTCAGTATGAGCTGGGTGTTCCTACAGTCTCATCTGCCCCCTCCCAGCTCCAGAGCATAGATGTCAAAATGCTTTTGGAGCTGCCAGGAAGGAAGCTGGACCCTGAAGGCAGCAGGGAGCAGGAATCACGGACAAGAGCAGAGAGATCGGGCTGGGCTGGGATCTGCAGAGCCCCGGGAGAGGGGACAGGGATAAGATTTGCATAGGTTTTTAACAGGGCAAAGACCTTGTGCAAGCTCGGGGTACAGAAAACAGGCCTTGCTATTGCTGGTGCTGGGCAGGAATGGGGGAGCCCAGTGGCCAGGGGTTAGCCAGCACTGCAGGCAGGGGCTGAAGGCTTGTTGTAGCTCACCTCCATCCCCAGCTCTGCTTCACCTCCCAGAAACCAGGGATGGAACTGGAGCTGACCCAGGCTCCCCACTACAGCACAGCAGGGCCTGCAAGAGGTTCCACTGGCCACCAAGTTGGCAGCAAAGCTCGAGGGGTGCAGGGCATTGGGGGTTTCCAAAGCCCCCACAACTGGAACCACCCAGCAAGAGCCCAAAGGCTCTGCTGACTTCAGTGGGGACACTGGTGAGACACAAAGGACCTTGGAGAGCAGTCTCTGGAATTACAGCCTCCTGAGGAAAGCACAGCTTAAGTCCATCCTTCCTGCCAACACACCTCTGGGGGCTAGCTGTGAAAGCAGGGGAGCAGAAGCTGTGGCTGGGGCTGTGAGTAGATCTGATGGGGTCATGGGCAGGAGTGACTGGCACACAGCTGGAATTCTGCTCCCTGGGGCTGTCAGCAGGAGCAGCCACGCTGCCACCACTGCCTGAGCACCAACCCATGGGAGGCTGCAGCTGCTTTGCTCTGGGGGAAAAGCAGGTGAAAAGGGAGAAGACAAAAGTCTGCAATGTTTCTGTTCCTAGACTGGATTCCAGGTGCCCCCCCGTAGTGTGGCATGCACAGCTTGTGTGCAGGGAGGCAGGGGGCTGGCTGAGCAGGAGGCCCCTGGGCTGGGGACACAGGAAATGTCCCATGGCAGTGTCCCAGTTCTGCTGCTTCGCTGATGCAGCCTGGGGAGAGAGGAACAAGAAGCTGCACAGAAGGGAAGGCAGCCCCCCATCTGATGAAGGAAGCTTTGCGGGGGGCTCAGTGGCCCCCAGAGAGGAGGGCATGTGTCCCCAGGAGCAGCCATGCAAGCAAAGGCTGAGAGAGGAAGGAGAAAATGGAATAAATGGCACTGTACAGCATGTCACCCCTGTGACACCTCTCCTGGCAGCACCACTGCTGTGAGGGACACACAGACAGGCAGAGGAGCAGGTCTGGGGATCCGCAAGATCCCAAGTGGAACGGAGCAGAGCTGTGGGCTGGGGAGGGTTCAGACCTGGCCCTTGCTGGCCACAACACCTAAAGACAAGACTTTCATTGCTAAGGAGTGACATTTCAGGGCTGGCTGGTGGTGTTTTGGGGACAGAACCTGGCAGTGGTTGTTTTCAGAAAAGCCACTTTCCCTGGCAGGTTACAGGCCCCATGTTCACACTGAGCCAAACACACTGGCAAGACAAAGGCAATTTTTCCTTGCTGCTCTTCCCAATTGTTTCCAGAGCACCTGGAAAGCAGAGATGCCACTGAAGCCACACTGGACTGGCACACAAAGCTGTCACCCTGTGCCATCGAGACAGCTCCAGGGACAGCACTGCCACCCCCTACATTGTGCTTTTGAGATGATCTCTCCAAACCCTCTCTGAGGGCTTGTGCTCAAGGATCTTCACCCAAGCCTTGCCACGGATGGAAGTTGGCTGGACTTGCTGTCAAAGTAACATCTTAAACCACCTAAATGCAGCTGAAAAGCCCCATTTTTGTTGCAATGTCTGAGGATTCAGGGATGGTGAGAAAGGCTCTGGCTCATCAGGATTCATCCTTAGCCTGGAGGACTAGGAGAGGATAAAGAAATTCAGCAAATTAGTGAACAACTCACAACCTTCTCAGGTTTCCAATTTTGTTGAATTTACGGATTTTTCTTGACTAGCCCCTTTAAGTCCAGCAGTCCATTATTGCCACCTCGAATTATTGGGGCAAAATCAAAGGGTTTGTGAACCACTTTTAAGTATTTTTTTGTAGGGTTTCAAGCTTTCCAGAGCTGGGACATTGCTCCATCCCTCCTGCCCTGGGACAGGGGCACTGAGCCAGCCAAAACCCCTGAGCAGCGGGTACTTTGCAGCCCCAGACTCACCAGTAGAGCAGGAACTCTCATGGATGAGACAAAAAGCAGATGATGAGCCCTCCAATTTTAACTCCAGAGCATGAATGGGAGTCAAGGCTGTCACACATGAAGGAAAACCTCCTCCATCTCCCTGCCCACTGCTTCAGCACCCAGAATAGCCCCAGGGATGGAAGTGGCAAACCCTGACGAGCTGATTAGGCTAAAATGTGTCTGTTGACACAGGCAAGAAGCACCTGGGTTGCTGGAACCACTGAGTTTCCTGCCCTTCCCAGGGACAGAGCTGGGGCTGCTGAGCTCTCACCATGCAGAAGGAATGGTGGGAGCAGCAAGCTGGGGAAAGGCAGGAGCACCCAAAAGCTCCAGAGTGATGGTTGGACGATGGGGAGCCCCAGGGCAGGGCCAGGGGCAGCAGGGGCAGTCCCATCCTGCCCTGGCACTTGGAGTGGCTCAGCCTGGAGCTGCCACAGAGGCTGAGGCCACAGTGCCCACGTGTGGCTGGGAGATAAGCACTGCCCCGAGCACTTCCAGCAGGGTTTGCCAGAGCACAAAGCACGTGGAGGAGCACCAGGTTATGCCAAGAGCCTGGGGTTGCTGGGAAGTGCCACAGGACCTAATCCTGTTTGCCAGTCCCTCCCTTTCCCCATGCCAAAGCAACACAGCTTCCCCAGGAGCCCAGGCTGGAGCAGCACAAAGAGATGGAGCCTGCAGGGGAGAGGGGAGTTCCCCACATTCCCCCAGACCTGTAGCCATGTCTCGTGCACCATCCTGCCTGACTGGGCTCTGCAGAACTGGGAAAAACCAGGCACAAAATGTTTCATAATGGGAAGGAGAGGGAAAAAACAAGAGCAAATTCCTGGTGGATGTTTTTCCACGGCCATCTCCAGATCGGCTGCTGTAGCTCAGCACTGTCCAGTACCTTTTTGTTTGCTCCACACCTCCAGGGCACACAGAGGGGCTGCCAGGGATCCTCCTCCTGCTGGGCACACCAGAGTTGTCTGGAGTGACTGGAAATCCCTTGGAGTGAAGGGATAGCTGGCCCAGTTTGGCTGCTGGATGCACGGACAGGAGCTCCTGCTGCCAGTGCCAAGAGAGGAGCCCACGTGCAGGTGACGGTGGCCACTCACATCCCACAGCGCAGTGCTGAGCTCCGTTTGCCTCCAAGGACGCCTGGGAGATGTGACAGCAGGTGACAGCGGGGTGTGAAGCCACCCCTCTCCCCGAGCCAGCATTTTGCATTTCCGAGGGCGGCGGCTCCAGTGCACGAAGGGATCCTGCTGCTGCTCGTGGCTTTGCCCAGCTGGAGCGAGCCGGGTCGCTGCTCCTCTCCTGCCTGCAGCATCCTCAGCCTGCTGCTGCCTGGTTTCCTCATCCCACTGCTGCTCCGTGCTCCGGCTGCCTCCGCCTCTTCCCAGTGCTCAGCTTTGTTCACTCGGTCTTTGTTCAGCGCCGCTCCTGAAGTGCCTCTGGCAGCTCCGGCCTGTTCCTCGTGCATCCCCTGCTGCTCTGCTCACCTGGAAGCGCCTCAGTCCCTTGTCCTCCTCCAGCTGCTCTCTCCCAGCAGCTCGTCCTCCCCACGGCCACGCTCCGGAACAGCCGTGGGCTGCTCCAGTCCCCCGTGGGGCCTCGGGAACAGAGCAAACCTCGCCGAGCACCTCGGTCAGTGCCCGGGGCAGCGGGAGCACTGCTGCCACGCGCTCTCCTGTCTGACTTCCTTTTCCCAAATCAGAAGTGGCCGAAGAAAAGAGATGGTGAATTCAGCACATGAGTTTGTTTCTTGTCATGGAAGGTACAAGCCAGGCAAGGAAGAACATTCCCTCACTGTGGCTACATTCGCTTTTAGTGGCTTTCTGAGCCGAATCTGAGAATTCCTCTCTTTATATCCAGTCTCTCTTAATACAATTTTAATATTCTGGTTGATCCTAAAGATGCAACATTAACTATAGAAACAGCAGCAGAAAAGCGGAGGGTACAAGACATGTTTTTATACAAAAAAAAATTTTTTTGTTGCTTACAAAACATATGCAAAAGAAGCTAAAAAAACCAAAAGGCATTGCTATTTGTTCTACATAAAAAATCTCATAACTAATGTTCTTTTTTTTTAAAAAAAGAAATATCAAGCTTAGGCACAATTTTGCTGCTGGCTGCTTGTGAACAAGCCAAGAGAACACGCCACCCCCTCCTAACTGAGTGATATGTATTGACTGTTCTGCACTTTATACTTAAGGCAATTTTTTGTTTCTGTTTTGTTTCTGACAAAGTGTTTTTTCCACCCCTTACGTCACGCCAGGATCCATCTGCGTGTGTCAGTATGAGCAGTACTACAGTTCATGGTTCAACAGGGTTGCAGGTCACACCAAGGGTTTTCTTCCTACAAATCTCTGTATCCAGAGGAACAAAAAGATCTACAAACAAAATAAAATAAAATAAAGAAAAGTCTGAAGTGATAGATGCCCAAATGAGAATAAAACTGTGCTCCTTGCACAGAGGGTCCCAAGGCTCCTGCTGCAGCTTGTCCCTGCAGGCTGGGCCGGGCTGCAGCTGAGCTTTGTCTTTGTTTTGGTCAGGCACCCGCAGGCACCCACTGGGGCAGGGGACACCAAGGGACTGTGTCCTCTCCACGAACTCAATGGGATCAGCTCCTGACCTACCACTCCTGGATCTGCTCAATGCCCCCACCATCGCTGCACTGCTCAGATGCTCCCAGAGTCTCTTAAAAATGGGAACAGCCCATCAGAGCCTGTGCCTGCCACAGCCTCACCAGGGGACTTTCACCTCCTCTGACCCTCTTGGCATTTCTGGGACCTGCCCATTCCCTCTCATAGAGCCACAAGGAAAAGGAATTGCTGGTTTCCAGCAGCCAGCTAGGGCAAAACTGGGAGGTGCAGAGCAGAGCTGAGCCCACCCAGAGAGCTCCAACCCCATCCCAGCTATGGGGCTGCCACTCTCCTGTGGGCCAGAGGCTTTGGGTGTCCATGGGGCACGTGACACACAGAGAGAATCAGGGAATGGGTTCGGCTGGAAGAGACCTTAAAGTTCAACTAATTCCACCCCGAGCCTTGTCAGGGACACTTTCCACTATCCCAAGGTGCTCCAAGCCCCTCCAAACTGGCCTCGGTCACTTCAGGGATGGGGCAGCCACAGCTGCTCTGGGCACCTATGCCAGGCCTTGCACACCTTCAAGTCATTGATTTCAGGGAAATGAAGCAGGCCCGTGGCTGCTGCTGAGGGAGTGGGGCTGACCAGCCAGGGCAGAGCAGGGCATGGGCACAGGGCTGGACCACGCTGGGATGTGGGATCAAAGGTGGGGACCAGTACCTTTACATGTGTCCAACAGGGTTGTGACCGTCTCCTAGACCAGGATGTGAAGCTGACAGTGTCATCTGGGGGTCTCCAACCACTCCGGACACTTTCTCCTCTTCCCGACGCTTCAAGCAGGCCGCTTTTGGGTTCAGATTGCGCTCTGTGCCCAAAACAGCAAGGGAGGGGAGCAACCTCAGTCTGGGCAACAGCATCACCCCTGGCAGCAGCATCCCAGAGGGGCAGGGGACCACCCCAGGCAGGCCTGTGTGAGGCATGAGCTCCGTGCAGCTCGCTGCTGCTGCAGTCCCTGCAGGCTCCTGCCAGGCCCCTGCTCCAGCAGAACCCAGGCCCAGCTGCATCCCACTTCAGCATGGAGTCATGGAATGGTTTGGGTTGGAAGGTTGGAAGGAATATTAAAGTCCATCTTGTTCCAACCCCTGCCATGGCAGTGACACCTTCCACTATCCCAGAGTGCTCCAAGCCCTGGCCAGCCTGGCTTTGGACACTTCCAGGGATCCAGGGCACCTCCATGTGCTTGTTACAGGAACCCCCAAGTGCCTCAGCCAGCACACAGAGTTGAGGATTGAATTTTCCAAAGCTGCATAATGGGATCCAGGTGCCAAATTACATGAAGCATGACCAAAGAGCGAGAGGAGCCTCAAATCCACCCCGGCCCAGGGCTGGGGAGAGCTCAGCAGCCAGAGGTGCTGCCGGCACTGCAAACACACAGCTCAGGCTGAAAGCAGGAGTCAGGACAGAGAAGCACGAGCATGCAGAGACAGGGGGAGAGACAGCCCCGAAATGCACCTGCCAGCGGTACCATACCTCGTACTTGCTGCTCCAGGCCCAGAATGACCTGCACCGCTTGCTGTAGGATGATCAGTTTGGTCTGTGCTTTGTCCGTTTTTAAGTGCATCTGGCACATGCGTCCCAGCTCTTTAAAGGCCTCGTTAATGTCCCGCACGCGCACCCTCTCCCTGGCGTTATTGGCCATTCTCCTCTCCCGGTCCCTCAGATCTTTGTCCTCCAGTGACAAGGCCTCGTCTGTACTGCTGGGTTCACAGCACCACAGGGGTTAGTCAGGGGGTGCCACCGAGGGGGGGTCTACGTTGCCGTGCTGGAAGTGCTCCGGGTGTCCACTGGAAATGGCCCAAACGGCCTCACTTTGCAAAGCCAATTCCTCCGGGTGCTTCCCAGAGCAGCCCAGGCTGTGTCACCTCTGTGAGCCCAGGGAAGGTGCTGCCAGCACAGGGCCAGGTGCCCAGGGGGCTGAAGGGGCCACTGGGGGCAAGGGTGGGCATTGATGCAGCATCACCCACCAACACCTCCTACCGTCTGCAAAATTTTGCCTTCCTGTTTGTTTTCAACTGAAAACTCGAAGGCTGGGGGAGGCTCTCTGCCAAAAACATCAGGTTTGTCCCCCATGGAAAAAATTTTGGCAGGAAGTAAATCCTTCTTTGTAAGATTTCCTTCCCAAATTCCATCTGCAGCTTCCAATGCTGGTGTTTGGAGCAGTGGTGCTGCAGCAGCAGGAGCAGCCTGGCCTGGCACCCTCTTAGGGACCAGGGCAGCTTTGGAGCAGGAGCCAGGCCTGCTCTGAGGACCAGACTCAGATGCAATCACTGAATCCCGATCATTCCACACAGCCAAAAGCCTGCCAGGAGGGCTGATTTTTTTTCCAGGCAGTCAGAAGCTCTGGGAGAGCCCCCACTGCTGACAGCACCCCAGGGTGCCCGACACAGGCAGGGATGGGGGAAGCAAAGTTGTGCTGGCAGCATCTTGAACCGAGGCCTTGCCCACCCCCTCGAAAGCCCCAATTTAAGCGCAGACGACCTTCTCCCCCAGAGCAAAACTTCTTGCAGGAAGACTCCTATCTGAGGAGGGTCCTCGGGAGAGTCCTGACACTGGGACAGCCTGTGGCCTCGGGCTCCTGGGGAGCCACGTGGGGACAAGCCTTTAGCAAAGAGGGGCAGAGTCAGAGCCCTCCTGGACAGTGCATGGCCACGGGAGGGGGAGCAGGGGCTCCCTGGGCAGGCAGGGCTGCCCACTGGCCCTGCTGTGCCCTCTCCTCGCTGCCTTGTCCCTGCCTGTGTCCCCTCCTCGCTGCCCCAGCTGGCACTGCCACCTCCTCTCCACACGCCCAGCACAGGCTGGGGGACGGGGCCATCCTGGCACCTGTGTCCCCACGCAGGACCCCAGATCCTTCCTCCAGCCCCGGCTGGTGGCTGCAGGTCCCTGCTGGTGGCTCCCCCAGCAGGGACAAGGCTTGGATGTCACACCTGGGCAGGACAGAGCTGTACGTACCACTGGCAGCTTGCACTGTGTGAAGATGGCATGCTTAGGCTGCCTTGTGCCCCTGGGGGTCACCAGCACAGGGGACCCTTGGGGCTCTCCTCCTTTCCCTTCCTGCAGCTGCTGTGGCAGTGGGAGGATCCTGGCAGCCCCCCTGGGCACACAGGGACCTGATGGCAGTGCTGCCAGAAGGGGTGTGAGGGTGGGATTCTCTCCTGGAAAGCAGCACAAACCCAAGGAGGGGACACTGCCTGTCTGCACTACTTGCTGAGGGAGCCTGCAGGGCTCAGCCACCTCTCTGGCTGCCTCCAGGAAGGGTGTAAAAAGGGACAAGCATGGGAGACCAAAACGAACATGGTGCCAACTCTGCCTAAGCCCTGCCCCACCCTCGGTCCTGCCTGGGATCCGTGAGCAGCAAGTACAAGGTAGAGTGGGACCACCGAGAGGTCACGGCTGGGGCATGTCTGTAGGAGATTGGAAAGAACAGAACCAAAAAGTAAAAACTTGAAATAAAAAAAAAAAATCAAAAGGAAGGGGAAATTAAAAAAGAAGACAGGAAAAAATATACATGTTATGAAAGGCAAAAAATTACAAACTGAAGAGAGGCACAAAGGACTCCAACATCAAGGCACAGCAAGGCCAGCAGAGAGGAGCACAGGCAGGCACAGCCCCCGACGCGTGTTACACAGCTCTGCAGAGAGAAAGGGGTTAACCTGCCCCGGGGCAGGAGCATGCACTGCGGGATGCGGACAGAGCAGCCACCCTCCTCTCCTTCCCTCCCTGCCGTGGGGGCACACACGTGTGGAAGGCAGCGAGCGTGCCCTGAGCGTGCCGCGGGCAGGGCAGCTCCAGGCTCAGAATGCACAGGGCTCCAGCCTGCGTGGGACAGCAATGCAGGCAGCGGGGCTGGGGCATCCCGCTGCCCTCGCACGGCTCCCGTGGTGCCAGGGCTTTGCCAGCTGCCACAGCAGCACATCGGGCACGCCGAGGGGAAAGCAGCGGGCTCTGTGCAGAGCAGCCCTTGGAGACCGCAGGGCTGGGCCCCTCTGGGACATTCTCTAGGGGGATTCTGTCACTTGGCTGGCCAAGCACTGAGCACAGGACGGCACAGGCGTCCCCGCGGGGACCGGCATGCAGCACACGCGGTGGCAGCGGGGGACAAGGGAGAGAACAGCAGGGATGGATGCAAAAAAGGCAAAAAAAAAAAAAAATAAAAAGGACATCGATAGCCTTGGGTTGGTCCCCAAGGCTACAGGGGAGAGAGACAGTGCGAGGCACCACAGCACGTCACAGGAGACAGACAGACAGACAGCCCCGTGCCGATCAGGTACGTAAAATATCACCACTCCGGGACCCTCACTGACCTCTAACTTGTTGCTCCAGGTTCAGTATGACTGAAACGGCCTGGTGTAGGATTAGCAGTTTGGTCTGCGGTTTTTCGCTGTTTAGGTGCAGTTGGCACATGCGTCCGAGCTCCTTAAAGGCCTCGTTGATGTCACGAACCCGCAGGCGCTCACGGGCATTATTGGCGACCCTCCTTTCTCTCTCTCTCTCGGCTTTTTGCTCTGGGGGAAGAAGATCGTCCTCCTCATCCTCATCTTGACTAATGGTTTAAAATAAGAACGAGACAGGGACATTCCTCGTGTGCACTCTCAGCACTGGTCAACTCACAGACAACAAACACACGGTGACGCACCAAGATGCCGAGCCCCCCGTGTGCCCTGTCAGGACCTGCTGTGCCAGGTCCTGTGCCAGGTCCACGTGCAGGGACACACAGGGGCTTCGGAGAGAAGCAGTTAAGGCTCTTCTTCTGCCTCTTTTTTGTTTTCTTTTGTTTTTTAAACAGCAAAGAAAGAATCCACAATGTGATTAAGGCCCGAACTTGTTGCCAGAAGAGTGCAGGGCAGCCCAGACAAGGTGAAGGACAACAGTGGAACTCCCAGCTGGAATCTGGGAAGATGCAGCCCTCTGCCTCCAGGCCAGGAGTGGGGCTGGTGCTGCCTCTCTGGGCACCATCACCCTGCTGAGGTCTCCAAGCTGGTGGCAAGGCTGCAGAGCAGCCAACACACTGAAGGACTCCACCTGAGCCACTGACTCCTCTGGCTGGATGTGACAGAGATGCCCCAAGGCAGGGAAGGAGTCAAACCTTGTCTGACTGGGGTTGAGCACTTGTTCCTTCTCTGCACGGCCCCAGGTGCCCGCACAGGCAGGTGGGGGAAGAGGTGCACCCCTCTGCTTTAGGAGCATGAGGGTGCCCTGAGGCCACAGGGACAGAAGCCAGCAGGAGGGTGGCAGGGACCCTTCTCCCTGGGGCAGTAGCAGGAGCCCAGGCTGTGTGAGATCACACCAGGCTCCAGGGTAAGCAAGGGCTGGGGGGTCTGTGCCACAAATGACCCCAGGCCAAGCCCAGTGCCTGGTGGGTCCTGGCAGCTGAACCCCAGCTGACACTCCTGACCTGGGAACAGAGAAAGTGAAGGGAGAGACCTGTTCAAAGAGCACCTTGTTCTGTTCCGGGAGGGTTTCAGCTCCTTCTTCTCCTCTTCTGAGTTATCTGCCACTGATGTGTTCTCCTCATCCTCCTTCTCTTCCCTCTTTATTTCACTCGTTCCTGAGGAGACGCTGCTCCGGCCCAGCCCCCCCGACAAGCCTGCAGAGAGAGCAGAGCCACATGCAGAGCTTGAGGGGCCTGACCCACAGAGGAGGCTGGGGGGTCCCCAGGCTCTGCTCCTGCAGTGGCATCCCAGTCTCATCCTGCATTGCTGCTCCACAGATGTGAGGGTGCTGCCTCTGCCCTGCTGACACTCCCGTACTCCCTCTTACTTCCCTTACTTCCAATTTGGGAACCAACCTACTCAGCAGAGCACTGAGAACTGTGCATCCACACCTGGCAGGGGAACAGGAAAATACAGTCAAGCATGTAGGGTTAGATGAGAGACTGGGCAGGAATTGTTCCCTGGCAGGGTGGGCAGGCCCTGGCACAGGGTGCCCAGAGCAGCTGTGGCTGCCCCTGGATCCCTGGCAGTGCCCAAGGCCAGGCTGGACAGGGCTGGGAGCAGCCTGGGACAGTGGAAGGTGTCCCTACCATGGCAGGGGTGGAAGGGGATGGGATTTAAGGTCCCCTCCAAGCCAGACCATTCTGGGACTCTGTGAAACCTCTGGAAAAGGCCCCAAGTAGAAACTGCCCTGTGAATGCTGCAAGGAAGCACCAGCCTTGTGGGACACCCACCCCCTCCCAGGCTGCACAGGCCTGGACCCAAGCCCCACAGGTGCCTCCCCACATCCCCAGCAGTGACCCTTAGCACAGGTGAGCCCTGTGAACAGGTGAGCCCCAAAACCAGAGCTGCCTTACCACTGTACGTGTCCTGCTGCCTGCTGAGGTCCGGGAGTGAGCTGGGCTGTGAGGGAAGTGTGACATGGTTGTGGAGCAAACTGGGGTTGCTGGACAACCCATCTTCAGGGTGGCCTCCTCCCACCTGCAGCACAGGGAGCAGAGTGAGCCTCGGGGAGGGATGTGGCAGCAGGCAGTGGGGACATCACCTGAGCAGTCACCCCAGGACAGCCCCGGGCTCAGGGACCGGGCTGAGGCACAGCTGTGTGCTCCCCTCACCCTCGCAGCCCTGGAGCTCCGGAATGCAGGAGGGAAGAGCCAGCCTGCTCCTGCACCAGCCCTCTGGGACCGTGCTGGGGACCCTGCTCTGAGCAGGAGCTGCACCCAGCCCGCGGCTCCTGTCACTGCTGTCCCCCACCCCGAGGAAAAGCCCCTCTGTGGCCGCTGCCAGGCCAGCACAGCAGCCAGGACACGGGTCCTGTGTCCACTGAACTCCACTGTGACTGCCACCTCCCCAGTGCCACGGGAGCAAGGGCCATCCCAGCAATGTGAACTTGGCTCCAAGGGGGCTGGAGGCAAAGGGTGAGGGGCCCCTCTGAGCCCAGGGCCCTGAGGCAGTGCCACACCGGCTGGACTGACAGGCAGAGCCAGCCCTGCTGGCTCCCCAGCTGGCAGCAGCTACAGAGCACACGTCTCATTCCCTGCTCAGGAGCAGAACCCAGGAGCCTGGAAAGGGATCACAACTGGTTCTCTGGAGACTGCAGAGGTGCCACTGCTGCAGCAGGCAAGCAGCTCTGCCAAAAATGTGCTGCTGTGGTCACCAACCTCTAGAAAAGGGGGGACCCAGGTGACCCTGCATGGCACCCCAGCATCCATGTGCCCAGGGCACCCTGGATCCATCACATTCCCTGCAGCTGGAATGAGCCTCACACACCAGCACTCCCCATGTGCATGGAGGGATGTGGTGCCTGCTCAAACCATGCAGAATTCCAGGTGACACCTGGCACTCCTGTGCCCACTGGATCCCTCTTCTCCTCCCTGCATATTCCAGGGATGCCTGGAAGTTGTTTTGAGGGATTTTAAATCATGTTGCAGGGAAAGAAGAGCAGCTCTCTCACCATCTCTGCCTGCCCTGAGAAGGGCCACAAGGGAAGGGCACACAGAGCTGGTGCCAAGGCTGCACTCAATGCTCACAGAGCAGCTGTGGCTGCCCCTGGATCCCTGGCAATGCCCAAGGCCAGGCTGAACAGGGCTTGGAGCAGCCTGGGACAGTGGAAGGTGCCCCTGCCATGGCAGGAGGTGGAACAAGATGAGCTTTGAGGTCCCTCCAACCCAAACCACTCTGGGATTCTATGACTCAGCTCTCCCTTGCAGGAAGATGGGAAGTGACTTGTGTGACTCTCCCCCATGCAATGCTGCCAGCACCTGACCCAAGCTGGACCACACTGAGCTGCTCTTGCACCAAAGGCAATGTCCCTCTGAATGCCATGTCACACCACAGGTGACACGTGTCCCCAGCGTGCCCCTGCCAGCTGCCACACTGCTCCCACACTCACCAGACTCGGGTGCCTGCTCCCCAGGGCCATGACTGAGGCGGGGAAGGCCTGGCCCAGGCTGCCCACGGCAGCACTGTGTGCTGGTGCTGAGCCCAGCAGCCCGTGCATGTCCCCGTGGTTGCTGGGCATGGCAGAGGTCTGGCCCACGGCGTGGTTCCTCAGCACGTGGATGGCTTCATCCAACCTGTCTTCCATTTTGTTTTGCTGGAAGGGCAGGACAGAGACAGGTCTGTGTTAAGTGCCCTATCCCTGAGGTGTCCAAGGCTGGATGGGGCTTGGAGCACCCTGGTCTAGCAGAAGGTGTCTCTGCCTATGGCTTTATGATCCCTCCCAATCCAAACCTTTCCACGATTCCAGTCCAATTCCAGGACTGCAATCCCATGAAGCCAGCAGCCCCCTGCTGCTCTGCACTACAGAATGGCTGGTGGCAATCCTGGGCTCAGGAGCCACAGGGCAGGGATGGGGAGAAATAAAATAACCCCCCCAGCCAGTGCCATTCCCCAAAGCACAACGGGTCACGAGTGGAACTGCTCAGGGCAGGGAGGCAGAAAGCTGCCAGGAATGCCTTGGGCTGGGCCTGGGCTGGGGCAGGGTGCCAGGCTGCTGGGGACTCCAGGTCAGGGATGCAGCACTGGGCTCTGCTCAGCTGCTGCTACCCAAATATCCATCCCTGGCCAACAGCTGAGTCTGATTCCAGGCGTTCAGGGGAGAGGGCACCACCCAAAAACCCTTCACCGCCAGGCCCCGAGGGACAAGAGAGGAGAACCCCGAAGTTTTGGTGCCACTCACCAAAGTGTGGAGGCTCCCTTCGTAACTGGGAGATAAGGCACCCGCTCCGCCCGCCCGCGGCCACTGCGACGAGCCTGGGGAGAAACCAAGCAGAGCTGGGGAACGGCCACGGCCACGGCTGCCGCTAGATGGGGCTGGAAGCTGGGACACCGGCGGCACCGGGAACACCGGCGGCACCGGGAACACCAGGAACACCGGCGGCACCGGGAACACCGGGCACACCGGGAACACCGGGCACACCGGGAACACCGGGTACACTGGGTACACCGGGAACACCGGGAACACCGGGAACACCGGCGGCACCGGGAACACCGGGCACACCGGGCACACCGGGAACACTGAGTACACCGGGTACACTGGCGGCACCAGGCACACCGGCGGCACTGGCACCGGGAGCACCGGGCACACTGGCGGCACCGGGCACACTGGCGGCACCGGGAACACCGGGCACACCAGGCACACCAGTGGCTCCGGGAACACCGGGCACACTGGGCACCGCAGCGGCACCGGCACCGGGAACACTGGACACCGCAGCGGCACTGGGAACACTGGGTACACCGGGCACACCAGGCACCGCAGCGGCACCGAGCACACCGGGCACACAAGGCACCGCGGTGGCACTGGCACTGGGCACACTGGGAACACTGGGCACACTGGGAGCACCGGGAACACTGGGCACACCGGGCACCGTGGCAGGACACCGGGCACACCAGCACACTGGGCACCGCGGCGGGACCGGCACCGGGAACACCGGGAACACCAGGCACACTGTCGGGACCGGCACCGGGCACACCGGGCACCGCAGTGAGACACCGGCCACCGTGACAGCACACCGGGCACCGTGCTGGCACAGCGCTGCTCAGGCCACACCAGCACCACCCGGCCCTGCTCAGGCACTGTGGCACCACCCAGCCCTACACAGGCTACCTTGGCACTGCACAGGCACTGTGGCACTGCGTGGCACTAAATGGATCACCACAGAGATGTGTGGCACCGCATGGACGCTGGCACTGCGTGGCACTGGGAGCTCTGCTCTGGCTCAGCCCTTCTGGCCTCGAGAGCTGTCCCAGTGTCCCCAGTCCCAGTGACTCGCTGTGACCTCGGGGCAGGTTGTGCTGCACCCCAGGCACAGGGAGCTCTGCTGGGCACAACGGGACCTGTCCTGCCTGAGGGGACCAGGAATGGGCCTGCAGCAGGTGCTGAACATGGGTTTTAACCACTCGGCTGCTTCCCAGTTCCCACTGCACTTCTCCCACGGGAGGCAAATCCAGCCACAGCCTCTCTGAGATGGGACACGCAGGGACAGGGCCAGGAAGGGCAGAAGGTCCCGGGGTTGCTGCCAGCTCTGGGCTGAGGTTTGGGGCTGACCTGGGAAATTCGCTGCCTGGGAGCTCCCCAAAGCAAACCCCACCCCCCTTACCCTTCACATCGTCACTCACCTGCGAGGCCCTGCGGGGACCCGACCGGGGTGGAGGGGTTGGAGGAGAAGTTATTGCTAGAGTGGTCGGGGGAGTAAATCTGCAGGGACAGAAGGGGGAAGGTCAGCAGTGCCACCCTGAGCTAGCTGTCCCCTCCCAGTGGCACCCACCACCTGCTGGGACCTCCCTTCCCAAACCCACAGCCAGCACAAAGACCGAGCCCAGTTCCCCCCAGTTCCCCCATTAACCCTGGAGTCTCTCTCTATCCCCACTGTCACCACCCCTGAGTGCAGCCTCTGCTCTTTGGGACCCCTCTCAGGAGGAAGCAGGAGCCCTCAGGAATTGTTGCAGGCTGCACTGTCAGCACCCCTCTGCCACCCTGCAAGGATCACTGAAGGGGACAGAGGCAACTCTGCTAACCCAGTGAGACCAGTGCCCTCCAGTGTGAACCAGCACACAGGGCAAGGACTACTGGGACCTGCAAGTCCTGGCACAAGCTCTGTGTAGGGTGGTCTTGGCAGGGCAGCACCAGGCTGGGAGGGCACAGAGCAGGAAATGGGGCTGCAGGGCCGCTGTAACCTGCAGTGCCTCAGTTTCCCCATCCACCAAAAGGTGCCAGCACTGAGATGACGGCACATGGAGAGGGGAAAACCCCTCCCTCAGAGGCTGCTGTGGATTTGGGGCGCATTCACCAAATGTGCCCATGTTCCCTGATGGGTAGAGGGTCCCTGCAGCAGCAGGACTGGGACTGGGTCAGGACATCCCAAACTCTTACCGAGGCCAGAGCCTTCCCAAGCGCATCTCCGGAGCTCCCGGCTGTGGTTCCTCTGTTACCTGCCAAGAGAGACACGGATGCCACTGCCAAGGCCCCAGACCCCAGCAGGACACAGTACCCTACAAGACCTTCTTTGGGGACACATGCTCTGGGGTGGACATTTTCTGCTTTTAGTGCTTTGCATGAAAATTAAATGTTTGTCCAGCTCAGAGCAGATTGGATATGGGGCACCTTCTCCTGGAAGCCACCAAGGGGCTGCAGGGACATCTCCCCAAGCTCTGGGCTGGAGGTATAGTGCCACCAACAGCAATCAGACATCTCTGCTGCAGCACAGCCATTGCCATGGGGCATCTCAAACCCCAGCAAAACCACCAAGGAGGCACTGGAAGATCCTGGAGGTCTTTTCCAACCTTAATGATACTCTCATTCTGTGAATCCCAAACTTGCTTCTCCATAGAAAAACAAGGTTTTTTTTCCTACAAGTCTATGTCAGGATCCTCATTTCCTGGGGAGCATGAGCTCATTTCAGTAACAGGCTCAGCAGGGTCAGAGATTAAAGCACCTGGGGGGTTAACGTGGTATCCAAACTCAGCAAAAACATTCCCATTCTGGATCTAGGGGAGCAGCTTCACACAGCTGTAAACCCATCCCACAACCCATCTAAGTGACAGCACCTCCAGGAGATAACAGCAGAGCTGCTGGGCTTCTCCCAGACCCACCCCACGAGCTGTAAAGCCCCAGCCCAGCACCCAGGTGCTGCAGCCAGAACCTCCCTGTGCCTCTTCCCCGGGCAGGGACTCCAGGCCCAGGTGACACACGAGGAACCAAAGGTGTCTGGTGTGTTGGATGCCTCAGGCACCAGTCTGCACCAGCCCTGGCGTTCCAGGTGAGCCTGTGGCGGGCCGTGGAGCGAGGGGTCACTCTGAGACTGGCCATACCCATGATGGTGTCCGTGCCGCTGATCGGGGGGGTGTGACTGGACACTCCGTACGCCGTGGTGGCCGAGGAGAAGCCGGACACGGAGGGGAGCCCGCCGTTCACCTCTCCTGAATGCAGCTGGTAGTTCTGGCAGGGACGGGAGCGCGGTGAGAGGGGCCCTGCAGAAGCTGTGGGGCTCAGCAGCTGGGGCAGGACCCAGGTGGCTCGGGCCCACAGCCAGGGGAGAAGGTGGCAGGGAGGTGACACGGGGACACGTTACCATGCGTTCGTGCTGGTGTAAACTGTTGAAGCCACTGGACTGAGGGAGCGGGGAGGAGGAGCTGCCCAGCATGGCACCGTAACTCGACTGGCTCATGGCACCTGGGGAACTCCACAGGTCTGGTGAGTTATGGAGTCCATCTGCAAGGAACCCAGAGCTCAGTGGGGCAGGGACAGCAGCCCCCAGCCCCCAGCCCCCAGGGGGGAACAGGTCAGCCCTGGCTGAGGCGCTGGGACTGTCCCCACCATGTTCTGCCTGTGCTGAGCATCACCCACTGAGCAAATCAGGACAAATTCTCTGGGACAGCTCCTGGAGCCCAGCGAGGGCTGGAGCTGTGCCAGGCCTTGGCATGGAGCTCAGGGAAAGGTCCTTCCCCCCGAGGGTGCTGGCACTGCCCAGGCTCCCCAGGGAATGGTCCCGGCCCCGAGGCTGCCAGAGCTGCAGGAGCGTTTGGACAGCGCTCTCAGGGCTGCTCAGGGTGGGGCTGTTGGGGGGTCTGGGCAGGGACAGGGGCTGGGCTGATGATCCCTGGGGGTCCCTTCCAGCTCAGGATATTGGATGATTTTGGGGCTGCATTGTGTCTCATGCGCTCCTGCCCTGAGCTCCTCCAGATGTGCAGCCCCTCTCATGGTCTATAACACACAAGGCTTCCCCTGCTCTGCCTGGCTTGTGGATCACAGGGCTGGGAATAACTCACCTGACATGTAAAAGGCTCCAGGATACACAGTGCTGGGAGGTTTTGAGGGAGTATATCCAGCTGGATCCCTGCTGTAGTCATCACCTGAGTTGGATGGATACACCTGTGGGACAGGAAAGGGCTTGAGAAGAGCTTGCTCGGTCCATGGCTCCACACTCTCACTGTGGCTGCTCCCAACTCTGCACACCTTAAACTTCAAACCTCAAACTTCAGCAGTGTTTGACCACCTCTCCCATGGCAACAGAGCAGCAAGTGCTTCACTCAACTGACCTGTCAAGGGATGGAGGGACAGGACACAGGGAATGGCTCCCAGTGCCAGAGGGCAGGGCTGGATGGGAGATTGGGCAGGAATTGTTCCTGGCAGGGTGGGCAGGCCCTGGCACAGGGTGCCCAGAGCAGCTGTGGCTGCCCCTGGATCCCTGGCAGTGCCCAAGGCCAGGCTGGGCTTGAGGTTCCTTCCAACCCAAAGCATCTGATGAGTCCAGGAGCTATGCTTTGATTCATCCCACGGCAGATGTGGGGGGGGAACTGGAGCAGCTCAGCCAAAATCCTCAAAGGACACAGCCCTACATGGAGCAGAGCAGGGGACAGGGCACAGAGGACAGGGCAGAGGGCACAGATGACAGAGCAGAGTGCAGAGGGCACAGGGTTCCCTTCTGTTTGTTCCTGCCACCCTCCTTGGTCCCCAGAACTTGGCCAGCTCCAGCAGAAGTTTTGACTCTGCTCCAGTTCTGTTCTCCATGGTTATAACTTTTTCTGGGTAACCACAAAAGCCACCACTGCTGCAGTGACCCCACACTGGGGGGACAGGCTGGGCAGTGGCAGCAGGCACCCGTGTGGCCTTGGGACCCCCCTGTGCCAACCCTGCCCTCTGCCAGCTCCCGAGCACAGCCCCTGCTCAAAGCCCTCAGGAAAACCAGGCTGAGGGGAAACTGAGGCACGTAGGGCTGAGCAGCCCCTCACAGCCATTGTCACAGGGGAGGGACAACTCTCAGACAGCTCTCACACAGTTCTTGGGTCAGATTTCTGCAGCACTGCTCAGCTCTTTGATTTAACAGCACATTAAGCAGAAGAAAAAGCTTTTCCTTCCCTTCTAAATTAACCAAACCCATCCTAGAAAGCCCTGACCGAAAATCAGCTTCTGCCAGGACAAAAACAGACTTTTCTTTTTTTAAGGCAGAAATTCGACATGCAAAGAAACCAAAATGGCATTCAAAGAAACTGAAATAGCACTCAGATGATGTGAGAACTTTTGTCACAGGTTATTTTCATCTCCTTTGATTCATTCTGAAACCGATAATCTTTTTTTTTTAATCCTGCTGAAAGCAGAGGTGGGGCAGAGGCCAGACTCTGCCTGGCACACACAATTCTCTTTGGGAAGGAAACTTGCCTGAGTTTCTTTTTCCCCACAGCCAGCTGCTCCCTTCCAGCCCTTGTCCTCATCAGCAAAAAGGGACAAAAGTGATGGTGGGGAATAAAAGACACAATCAGAGAATCCTTAAGGTTGGATGACACCTCTAAGATCAAGTCCACCTATAAAAGCAGCAGCACGACCAGGTCCACCACCAACCCATGTCCTCAAGTGCCACATCCACATGTTTTTTTAACAATTCCAAGATGGTGACTCCACCATGGCCCTGGACAGCCTGTGCCAGGCTTCCTTTTGTTTAAAAAAAACAACTCCAAAGCCCCCCAGAAATCAAGGGTCAGTGGAGCTTGGAAGGGTCTGGAGCACCAGGAGAGGCTGAGGGAGCTGGGAAAAGGGCTGAGCCTGGAGAAAAGGGGGATCAGGGGGGACCTTGTGGCTCTGCACAGCTCCTGACAGGAGGGGACAGCTGGGGAGGTCAGGTTCTGCTCCAGGGAACAGGGACAGGAGGAGAGGGAACGGCCTCAGGCTGGGCCAGGGGAGGTTAAGATTGGCTATTGGGAAAATTTCTTCACTGGAAATGCTGTGAAGCATTGGAACAGACTGCCCAGGGTTGGAGGGAGTCACCATCCCTGGAAATGTCCAATCAACATGTGAATGTGGCACTTGGGGACATGGGTCAGCAGTGGCCTTGGCAGTGCTGGGGAACAGTTGGACTCCGTGACCCTTAGAGGGCTTTTCCAACCTTAATGACTCTGACTTTACAGAGAACTCATAAAATAAAGACAAAAAAAAAAGAGAGAGGGGGAAGGGCAAATCCTGACAGACACTGGCAGCTGCCCTTTGTCCCTTGCTCAAAAAAGAGAATTCCAGGCCCTGGTCCCCGGGATGCTGCTGAGTGCAGTGGGCAGAGGGAGCCACACGTGGGCTGGGGGATGGGGGAGGCACTGGAGAACGGGAATGCAGCAAATTGACTTTTCCTATAATTTGATTAAATAGCGGGAGCCGGGACAGGGAATGGAGTGCAGCACGTCTGAGAGCCCCGCGCCATCTGGCAGGGGCTGGCTCGGGGCCAGGCGCCCGGCAGCTGCACCAACAGCCGAGCCAGGAACCCAGGGAGAAAACAACGGCGATAAAATGGCAGGGATGGAGGGACCAGGCTGCAGAGCAGGGGGAGGTTCACCTTGCTGCGTGCCCACCCTGCTCCACCACCCCTGGAACATCTCCTGCAGGATCCTGGGGTCCGGGTTTCAGCACACTCCTGGCCCTGACCCCTGCTAATTGTTCCTTTTGCTGTCCAGCACAGGGGAGGCTGTGAAAAGCCAATTGCATTTTTCTGTGCAGGGAGCCAGGAGCGGGTGCGGGCACGGCGGCGGGGCTGGGCC